GGGGGGGGTGTTCCCTTTTTATCCAACTGTAATATCTATTTCATGTCCAGGATCATGTGATTTCTGGAGCCTGGCCCAGCAAGCACTAGGTGATAGGCAGTAAACACCCTGGGTACTACATGGATCTATCACCTAATATCATTTCAGCTGCTATGCATATTTGCCCAATTTCCATTGGCTATGAGAGTGGATGAGAGTATTATTTTGGTTGTTGCACTTGATTATCTTGGAAAAAATGGCAAGTACGTGCTAATTCTTGTACTGAGCCTTGAGTGTAAATTTAGGTGGATTGACACTATAGTAGTAAAAATGAAAAGAGACCACACTGGAAAGAATCATAGTGTTAAAAACTCAGCAGTAGCTGGAGGTAATTCAGCCATTCCGGTTCATCTGCGCCGATTTGTTTGGACTGTGGGAGGAGCTTTGTATGAGAGAAACTGCGAGGCAAAAGGACTGCCGAAAAGAAGCTTTAATTCGAAGATCTACAGCATTGTGACAATTACTAATAATAACTGCATGGTGTCAGAGCTGTAATACTTCTAAAAATATATATGTGACCACAGAATGATCCTGCAGGAGAGGCGGAGGGTGCTGCTGCAGGGAACGAATTTCCTTTTGAAGCATTATCCATTAAACGATTGAACTCTTTTATGCAAATGTTTTACAAGATAAAAGCATAGGAACCCTTGAGGTTCACCCATATATCTCCACACAATTTCCATGTACATAGTAGCTTATCCTTAAAAAAAATAAAATGCAAATGCCTGAAGCCTTTGTGTGACCTCTTGACACATTTTCTTTAGGGGATCAATACTTTGGTTCTCTTGTCAGCATCTTGTACATATAAAGTTATGCTACAAAATGCACAAATGCGCTGATAGCATCAACTCCTTAGTCAAATTGTTCATCACCATGAAGCAGCGTGTGACATCATTGGTTGAAAAGGTAAAAACACAGCAGGTTAGCCTACAGGCTGTTACTCTGTACTTAAATGCAACCCGTGTCTGTGTGTGTGCACACATTTACATAACTTTGCAGCCAGCAGGTCTATAGTGAGATAACGTTCCCTGGAACTCCGATGGTTCTATTTAGTTAGTAGTCACACACACAAATGCAAAGCCTAAACACACACATACACATACAGAGGATCACAGGTAACATAATATAAAAAGTGGAAACTTCACTGAGAGCCAAGGGCACATTTGATGTGCAAAAGTGGAAAGTCTACATTCAGAAATGGGGCAGCTGGCTCGACTAACTTTGACCGACTGATTATGTTTTTGTGGTCTATTATCTTTATACTAAGCTTGGATTTCATACTCCGGCCTGTGTGCAACATTGTACCTAATTTATTATTAGGCATAGAAAGCAGCCTGTGATATCTGTAGAAACTCCATGCAACACAGTGCAGTGTGATCTGTTCGGGGTGTTCCAGTCTTATCATATTAGTGTAGATCATGTATATATGTGGGCAGCATAGTGACCATGCATGGATCATCCAGTTACATAAACCTGGGAAAAGTCCTGGCCAACTTTCTTCTTCCTTCACTAGCAACAGAATAGTTCTCATCACATCTGTTTGTCACTGAAAATTAAAAGTAACCATCACAGTGAAACTTCAGCCTTAAAACATCTAATATTAAATGAAAAATGAATCTGTGGGAAGTTTTTTTTATTTTTTTGATGGACATGGTGCTAATTTGATAGACTGGAGCAGGTAGGCACTCCTAGAAAAAAGGTAGCATGTTCACTGTTTGCCTGTGTGGGTTCTCTCTGGTTTACTCCAGCTTCCTCCCACAGTCCAATGGCATGCGTGCTGGGTTAATTAGTGATTCGAAATCGGCTGCAAATGGGATTATGAGACTATGTGTCTGTCTCTCTGTGCTAGGACTGGTTGACCTGTGCAGTATGCCTTCCTCTGGCCTTTTTTTTTTTACTTTTTAAAAAATGATGACATTCAGTGCTTTTTAACTCATTCCAGTGCCCCCCCCATCACACACACATAACCAAACTCTATTGAAAATGTTTTTGCAGCATTAATAACACTTCATTTTTTAAACAGAAATAATAATTTTCTTATCTTGGATATATGACCATGCTCATTTAAAAAAACAAAACAAAAAAACATTAAATTATAGGTCTCAAAAATAATAAATTGCTCATTTTTAAGTGATGGGAATTCTCCTGGGTTGTAAAAACAAAACAAATAACATGGGTGAGTACACACTGCTGCATAACAACGTGTAATCAGCAGGCGGTGAATAACACTTAAGGCTGAACTTTCCCCTCCAGCCATACAAAATATGCGTTTCTGCAGAGGGACGGCAGAGGACCTATCAGAATTACCGCCACGTGAGCTCAAATGCCTGCTTTATTAGAATAACTTTTCCAGGATTGGTCCAAATGCGAAACATGGTATTTATAGATGATATCTAATTGGTCGTTGCCTTTCAACTTCATAGCGAACACAGCCCAAAGCTTCCAGACGATGTTCATGGGCGTCTCGTACTACGAGAAAGTAGTGCGCCGCGAAAATTAATATTGCGAGGATATTTTCGAATAAAAGTATGATACAATTGTGGCGCGTGTTAAGTAGCTACATGGGAATGCATACGTGGCAAAAGGTCCCGAAAGTACGCGCGAATTAAACGATAGTGTCTACTTGTGTTGGTGGCGGAGGGATATCGTTTTCCTAGTGCGCGTCAAAATATTGGCTTGGGAAGACCGCGCCAAAGCTCAGACAGCGGCCACTGTTCAGTACAACAGTCCGCCGCAGAGGCCCTTTAAACGCACTCTTCTGTCGGCACGACTACTATACACATCGGAGTGGTCGGCTTCCCTTTCTTCTTCTTCTTTTTTTAATTCTTAAGAGGACTGTTTTTATCGGAGATACCTGAGTCGAGACACAGGAGTCATATTTGATGCTGGTTTTTGGGGAACGGTGTGCGACTTCGCGGTCGTGACACGACTTTGACGGGCGCGGTGCGGCGGAGTTGGCGCACTGCTGGACTGGATTTAACAGTTGCTCGCAGCCAAGACGGTTCGCGCCACCATTTACACTGCGTCTGAACCCACTTCTTTTCTTACTTATATTGTTTCGTCGGACTCCGAGTGATTGAATAGAGGTCGTCTACACGGTCGTTTCAGCTCGAATATGTTGCTGTCAAAGTTTGGTTCATTTTCGTATATTTGCAATCACTCGAGTATGGACCATCTACCAGTGAAAATACAGCTTCAGCCGGGTAGGTTACCGTTACACTCGAGGCGTCTTTTAACTTCATTTATATTGGATTTGTAATGTAATGGCTAATAAATCGGAAGCATATTCTTAATTGAACATAAAGTGTGCTACTACGGTTGCAGCTGACCAGTTCGCACAGCTAACAAGTTTAACCTCGCAATGCGCGGTTGAAATGCTGCATTCACCTTTTTTAAAATAACATTCCCCGTTTTATTTTGTTTTTTTCCCTCCTTGTAGTTAAAGTGGAGAAGGAGCCTTTCGAGAAGGTTTACCAAGTGGGATCCGTTCTGGGAAGTGGCGGATTCGGAACTGTGTACGCCGGCAACCGTCTCTCTGACGGCACACCGGTAAGTATGGGATCGAGGCGGGGAGAGGGGGGGGGTCTATGTTTTGGTCTTGCATGTGGCGCCATGAAAGTGGGGTATTTCTCATTTTCGGCAGCTCCCTAGCCCTCTCTGTCAGGAAACACGATGTGTGTCCCCTATAATTAACGCTCACATTGTATTCTTTTCTGTGTGATTTCAGGTTGCCGTGAAGCATGTCGCCAAGGAGCGGGTGACGGAGTGGGGCACAATTGTAAGTAGTCATCCGCCGACGGTTTTGTTTGTTTTGCAAACACCCCCACCCCCCTCCCCGGCTGTTGCTGGGTGGTTTTATATATCTATATTGTATTTTTCCCCCATTCAAGAATTATTTTTTTTACATGGTTAATAAATGCCTCAATTTGCCCCCCTTACAGAACGGTACTATGGTGCCTTTGGAGATCCTGCTGCTAAAGAAGGTCAGCTCGTCTTTTCGCGGAGTTATCAAATTGCTGGACTATTACGAGCGCGCGGACGGCTGGCTCATCGTCATGGAGAGGCCGGAGCTCGTGAAGGATCTGTTCGACTTCATCACTGAGAAGGGCGCCCTGGACGAGGACACGGCTCGAGGCTTTTTTCGACAGGTTTTGGAGGCGGTCAGACACTGCTACAGCTGCGGCGTGGTACACAGAGACATCAAAGATGAGAACCTGCTGGTGGATCTACGCACCGGGGAGCTCAAGCTTATCGATTTCGGCTCAGGGGCGATTCTCAAGGACACAGTCTACACCGATTTCGATGGTAAGTAAGCGCTCTTTTTTTGTTTTTGTTAACAAAAATGTCGAATTTAATTAATCGCTGATGCGAGAGGCTTCAGTGCTGGACGTGTGTGTTGTTTTGATGAATACGTATCCATGTGGGCTGCGTTGTGTTTGCCCTTGGTGCCCCGCTGTGCTATATTCAGATATGGAGGCGTTCACGAGGCGCTGACGCAGTCGTCTGTTTTTGGTCGAGGGTTTTCTTCTCCCAGAGTCTCTCTGCGTTTTCCTTATCGATGATCTATTAAAGGATGTTGCTAAGTAAATAAAAGTAAATAAAAGATCTCTCATATCGCAGATATGACTCACAGCATAATGATCATATTGGTGGCCATTTTTTAATCTGTGAATCATCCTCGTCTTGTGATAGGGAGACTACTTTTAATGTTTCCGGTTGTTTTGTTTTTTTTCCCTTTCAGTAAAGGTTGAGTCACTGTTGTGTTTTGTGGATGCTTGGTCAGTGCCACGTAACATCTGTTTGTTGTGAAACCGGAGACGGTAGTTCACGTGATGGGCTCACGTTGCTTTTTTTTTTTCCCCCATGTTTGGTAACCAAGTTCCTCCTTCCAGGAGGGAAGGGAGGAGGGGAGATGCAGGCAGGTCACTCAGTTTGTGTTTTGTGGCGTAGGAAAAGATGGAAAGCTTTACTACCATGACTCAGCTATTTCAGTCACATTATTCTCAATTTTCTTTTTCTCTCCTGCGTGCTGTTTCGTAACTGACCTCCCTCTTTTCCCCTCTTTGTTCTCTCACAGGTACAAGAGTCTACAGCCCACCAGAGTGGATCCGCTTTCACAGATACCACGGACGCTCTGCGACGGTTTGGTCATTAGGCGTGCTGCTGTACGACATGGTGTGCGGAGACATCCCCTTTGAGCAGGACGAGGAGATCCTAAGAGGGAGACTGTATTTCAGGAGGAGGATCTCAGCTGGTGAGTGTTAACACATGAGTTCACTCTGTTGCCCTCTAGCCATGGTTACTGGTATAGCTCATGAGGTCTATATTTATAAATCAATTCACAGAGTAAGACCTTGTAATCATAATGGATGACCTGCTCAAATGGCTGGTAAACAGATTTATCAGTCATAAATAAAATTGAGGTTTTTTTATTTTTGGGATTTTTTTTATTTATTTTTTTGGTCTGTTTTTGATTTCCCTTGGTGCACTCTGTACCAGTCCCACTCACCATAGAGAGCTAACCTTAATAAAAGGGGATGTGTGTTCTGGTGCTGTGATTGTATACATAAGCTGTAGAGATGAATCCAAAATATCAGTTTCTCTCTTTCAGTTTGTTGGCCCCTTTTTTCCTAATTTTGTTTTTTCTTGTTTTCTCCTTCAGAGTGCCAGCAGCTGATCAAATGGTGTCTGGCCCTGCGGCCCTCAGACCGGCCCACTCTGGAGCAGATCTGCGACCACCCCTGGATGAGGGCAGTGGCAGAATCACCCAAGTCACCGGAGGAGCCTGTGGGCAGCGACATCCGCCTCAGGACCATCGACACAGATTCTTCATCAAGCACAAGCTCGAGCAAGGAGAGCCTCTGAGGGAGGCTCTGATAGACTTTTTTTTTGTTGGGGGGGGGGGACAAAAAACAAATAAGACTTTGTGGGAAAAGAAGGGGTGGGGATAGAAGGACTGATCTGCAACCGGACCCTCTGACCCAGCAGGCCCGGCAAGAAAAATGTACTTTAATTTTCCTCTTTTGTAGGGAATTTCTAATTTATTACTTATGTGTTCTTTTTATCTTATAGTCCCATCCCCTCTTTTCCTTTCAGTTGATTTTTACTTGTTTCCTAATGGGAAACATTTTGCTGTTTGGGCGGTCTTACCAGCACTATTTATTCCCCCCCTCCCCACTTTTAAATTTTAATTTTACTTGTTTTGTTACTAGGCTGGTATATACAGCTGGCAAGGCCCTCCTTTTCAGACATGGCTGCTCTCATAGAGCATGGA